ACTTGAAGGGTTAAGAGGACAGGCTCTATGACAGTGTTTCTCAACCTTTTTTCAGTCAAGCCACCCTTTAAAATTATGGAGTCTTGAGGCACCCCATTCTAAAATGTGAAAAACTATTCTAATAGTTTTTTATATAACGCAGCAACATCCACACATGTAGGTCACCCAACATTAAAGGTGATCTTCCAAAGCAAACACACTTTTGCACACTGGTGCTGACTAGTATTCTAATGTTTCTCTTCTCCCTCACTGAGCTAATGTGACCCCAGCACTGATGGAGAGGGGGCGGGGGAGGGTCAAACTAGGATGCTGTGCAGGCAACTGGCATTCTCCTTATCAAATGATGATGTCATTGGTTGTCAGGCGGCTAGAAGGTTGCACAGTGAAACCTGTGGCTTAGTGTAAATAAAAGGCAGGCTTGTTCCACCCGCTGGCTTGTATACAAATTTTGGGCAATTTTAGACATACGGAAGTGCAACAGCGGGCTGCACATGGAAGCGTGGTGAGATGCCAGATTCACTGCACTTGCTTTGACCATCGCTTTCATTTATTGTAAAGCGCTTTGTATTTTGGCTCAATGTGGGTAACTTTTAAGGGGGGAAAGTGGCAATAAAGTGTCTTAAACAGAGTCATGCTATGTGGTTTATTTGTGTTTATCCTTGGGTAAATAATTACTTTTTTTTATTTGTAAACTTACAATTAGCACAACACCTAATACAGGCTTAGCCGAGCTTTGGATCCTAGGGGTTGAGTTAGAGGGTCCTGTATGTTTTATCATCACCAAAAAACTATGTTCAGGCAAAACCATTGATTTGCTGGTCAACTTACGCATGACCTCTCCTCCCTCCTCATGGCTACAAATGCAACCTGCATCTGGACCTTAAAGCGGAGCTCCACCCAAAAGGGGAAGTTCCGCTTTTAAGCTTTTGTCCCCCGCTCCCCATTAAGGATTTGCACCTTTGGGGAGCGGGGGACCCGAATTTGACAGGTACCTGCTCCCACTTCCGCTGCGATTGCCTAGGCGATCGGAAGTGAAAGTTGTCCTCTCCCTCCCCGTAGTCTTATGGGACACGTGACAGGACCCAGAAGACTACGGGGCCATTCACAAAGCGTAGCGCTTCTCACGCATGAGCAGTGGGCACCCGGCTGTGAAGCCACAAGCTGTCACAGCCGAGTGCCCACACTGAAGATGCCGGCGCCAGGGCGAGAAGACGGCCGGTGAAACCAGCGGTGGTGAGGACACCGCTGGACTGAGGGACAGGTAAGTGTCTATATTTTAAAAGTCAGCAGCTACATTTTTTTTTTTATTTTTATTTTTTGTCAGGTGGAACTCCGCTTTAACCTGGATTGGATATTGTGTAAGTATTTTGAGTGTTCTTTTGCAGCTTACACGGCACTGCAGGAGAACTGAATTAGACCTACTTTAACTAAAGATACTGCATTATGACTACTTAACAGGCAGATGATATGCTGCCAAAATGCAAAGTACATTTTTGGGTAAAACCCATGAATTTTAAGAGCCACATGAATGTTTTCAATAGTGTTCAGACCATAGCAAATATAACTTTGGATTTTGCACATAGACACAATAAATACAGACATTTGTTAGAGTTTAGACTTGGGAGTAGACTTTGCTTATATGCATAATGTCTTTTGCCCAGTATTGCTGCACTGTATTGTGATTCCCCAGCAGAGGGAGCTTTAACTCTGATATATAAGAGCAGAATGGCACATTGGTTCTCCACTTGTGTACTAAAAAGCAGGAGTAACATTTTGGCATATGAGTACTGATGATTTACAAATGCTGTAGCAGCTACGTATCTTGGCTCCCACATAGCAACTATACAGTATGTGGACTGGCACACTTGTCTTCACTAATAAAACATTTTTTTTGTGTAACTTGTGAATGCAACATATTCTTTGACATATTTTAGAAATCTGCATTAAAAATGATCTAAATGGGTAAAAGGGAAAAAAGTAGAACTCTAAATCCTCCTAGTGTTGTGTTTTTTTGTTTTTTTTTTACCGAACTCACAAGGGATGGCTAAAATTTGTCATTCCTTAGTTAATGAAAAAAAAAAATACAAAACATATATACAAAAACAAAATAACAGACTCGATGGGCCCTTTGGTATTTTTTGTGCTGTCAGTTTTCTGAATGTCTGCTCTGGAAATCTGCCTTCACTGTTATGTAACACCCGCTAAATGATAACCTTACAGGTGTGGATTGCACTGCCCTTTTTTTTTTCTTCATGGACTTTTCACCACAATCGTATAGTCATTTATTTTTAATAATAATAATGTTGGTTACTTCTTAGGATATTATGCAGTTATTGCTTATTTTTCTCTCTGTGAAGACTGCTGGCCCTTCAGGTTTAATGATGGGAAGCATCATCCACATTGCTTTTTGTGGACCCAGATTATCGTGGACAATCCCCCTGGGCTTTAAGTACTCTTGAACTGAGCTACATTTGCATGTCACTCAGGCCAGGAGGAGGGACCACTCACCACTGAGGAAGAAGAGGACGGACCAATGGGGGTTTATTTACTAAAGCTGGAGAGTCCAAAATCAGACTCCCTTCTGCATAGAAACCAATCAGCTTCTAACCTCAGCTTGTTCAATGAAGCTTTGGCAATGAAACCTGGAAGCTGATTGGTTTCTATGCAGAAGGGAGTCTGATTTTGGACCCTGCAGCTTTAGTAAATAAACCCCATGATGTCACTGGGCAAGTCTGAAGACTATAGAATTTAAGAGAGGTTTCCAGCTTTAACTTCACTTTAAATAGGTTGGCCCAAATTAAATCTTTCCATGATATAATGATGCTGTCACTCTGTACACTGTAATATACTGTAGTAGTGTTGGTGACATACAATAAGCTGTGATGTGTTCTGGGAACAGTATAGATGACTTCCCATCTGCTGGTGGAAGTAGATTTAAGCTGGGCTTAGTGCTTCTCAGACATTCAAAAGAAAGCTTAGTAATACAAGGCTTTCTCTGATTAGCGGGAGTGGAAATGGTGATGTCATCTGCCCGCCTCTCCACCCTGGCCAATCACAAGAATACTTGTATTTACTGATAAAAATACATTTCTTCTCTGGAATGGTGGAGAAACATTCAGCCCCACTCTGCTTTATACTGGCACCAGATGGGAAGTCTCCCATACTGCTGCTGGAGCACAGTGCCTCTTACTGTATGTAGCTAATGCTACTACACAACTGTCCCATCGTTCTGTAATGAAAAATGTTTGTTTGTTTGTCCCAGCTTGGCCTAAACAAACTGTAAAATTTATATTAAAGCTGAAATTCTATTTTAAATTATGTAAAAGGGCATGTATTTTTTTTTTAAAAAAGTGTGTTGGATTGATTTAAAGAGGTTCTGTTATTTTGCCCATTCCATGGCTGCTTTGGAGTCACCAATAAATACAATACCCTGTGCTTCTAGGTGTGGGGACAAAGTGACCTTCTGCAATGGTGCAGTTTTCAGGCCTATCAACTAATAGTTAGGTTTAAAATTTTTTCACATAAGGAGGATGGCATGTCCTTGACACTAGGTATGCTCTGACACAGAGTTTGTAGGTGATTATGAGTCAGGTAGTGGGCTTGTAACAGACTTGCCCTGTGGAAGTCTGAACCTCTGGATATTCCTTATACAAATTGTCCTGCCTCCGCAAGGCTAAGCAGTCAAATTGAGCATGGTTGGGTGAATTAGGGCAGAATGTTGGTATTATTCCATAAAGACCTTCAAGTATGTAAGTGAATGAGGATATCTGAAAGGATGTGCATTCAGAAGGGTGGAGGGGTTGTGTCCAAATACACACATTGTGTGACCACGTCTAGCATTCAGTTATTATTTGATCAGCTGTGTGTCTTTGTGCCATTTATGGTATTCTCATTGCAGATAAGGTCTGTATACCATATGCTGACATGATCTGATTTGAACTTGTTCACTGCTATAGTTGAATTGCATTATTCCTGGTAATTTCATGAATGTTCCCTTCAGAGTGAAACTTTAACCTTGGGATTGGGAAGAAAGCTCCCTTTGATCACTGTTTTTTCTGAAAACATGTACGCATTTGCTTAAAGTGGAACTTCACCAAAATGGGGAAGTTCTGCTTGTTTGCATCCTCCCCTCCACTGCCACAGTTGGCACTTTTTTGGGGGGAAGGGGGAAGGGGGCAGCGGGTACCTGGCTTTGACAGGTACCTGCTCCCACTTCCAGGTCATATCAGCAAGGAAATGTGAGGAAATTAAGTCCCTCCCTCCTCCACCCCCCCCTACAGCTTTCTGGGACACATCACAGGTCCCAGAGGACTTCGGGACCGTCCACGAAGTGCAGCGTGGCTAATACATGCACAGTAGGAGAGCGGCTGCGAAGCCAAAAGGTTCCACTGCCGGTTTCCCTTACCTAAGATGTTGGTGCCAGTTGAAGAATCAGGTCGTGTGAGAACCTTGCTGGATCCCTGGACAGGTAAGTGTCATTATATTAAAAGTCAGCAGCTGCAGTATTTGAAGCTGATGACTTTTAATTTTTTGGGGGGGAGACTGGAGCTCCGTTTTGAAAACCATGTGACTGACCCAGAGGCCTTTAATGAATAGGTAAGTGCCTTTCATCTGTTATTCCAGTATGGTTTTATGTTATGATGATTGGATAAAACATAACCAGTGGCAGAAATCAGTAATCATACTATCTTGATCATGCAGACAAACGGCTAAAATGTATGGCAGCTTTTTACCCGCCATTATTTTTGTCAACCCAGTGCCTTGCCAGAATGCACAGCCAGGTTGGTAACCTGCCATTTATCTAATCCTGGTAAGCCATACAGTTTTTATAACCTCCTTGCCTCCTTCCTTCCAGATTTGTGCTGATAAATAGTGCTAAATTTTCACTGTATGTTAACTTAATTGTGGTAGAGCTTGTGGTAGTGTGCAGGTCACTCCCTAACAGTATACAAAGTGATCAGGACTTTGCATGACATTATTTGCTTTCTTTTTCATTCCAGAAAAGAAGCCCCTATATGAAGTGCAGTATGAGAGAGATGGGACACTGGGTTCTGATTACTATGATGTGGTGATTATAGCTGCTCCATTACAAAGAACAGGCTTCCCTATCTCATTTCGGAATTTCCAGCCTACTCTTCCAGAGTACATAGGTTCTTACCATCGAGTGGTGACATCCATTGTCCATGGCTACCTCAATTCTTCCTATTTTGGCTTTACGGATCCCAAGCTATTTCCATTTGCTAGTATCCTCTCCACAGACAGCCCCAGATGCTATATTTCACAGCCTCGAGAGCCTGTGCCCAGTAAATGTGTCTGTTGGCTTCCGGCGCAAGCCTCCACAGGAAGCTGGGGTTTGGCGGGTGCTTTCTTCACTGCCTTTGGACAGGAAGGAACTGAAGACTCTGTTTAAGTCCTATTATTCTGTTCAGGTCATTGAATGGCAGGCTTTCCCAAACTATGGCACAGCCAGTTCTTCCAAATCACTCCCTCCCATCATTCTCCATGATGGTTTGTATTTCCTGAGTGGTGCAGAATGGGCAGCCAGCTCAGTGGAGGTGATTGCTGTGGCTGCAAGAAATGTGGCTTTGCTCGCTTTCAATCGCTGGTTTGAGCTCAATGAGAAAATAGACCAGCAAGATTTGATGCACAAACTGAAAACTGAACTTTAAATCAAACATCCATAGAATGGTTTATCAACACTTTGCCATGGCATTATGCATTCAACACTGGATAAGTCCAACATCGTGACTGTGCATTTGTATGTTCTTTCCTGAACAGTGGAGAGATGGAACACTATATCTTATGGCGGCTGAAGCAATGAAATAAAGAGCGTTATGTAGCAAACAGAAACTCATTAACTTTTTATTCACACTCTTTAAGTTTTAAAAAGACTTTAATTGTGTGGTTTGGTAAACTGGAAATGATTTGTATGTTCAGGAGACATTCCCTGTTAAAGCAAAAATGTTATTTGTGTCTGGGGGTTGTGTTTGTGGGTTACTTTTACCTAATCAGATGTTTTCCACATTTATAGAACTTGGTCATTTATTTAACACCCACAGTTTTAATCATTCCTACCTTTAGCGATGCTATGTGAATGCTTTGTTACAAAGTCACACCCCCGTATTGTGTCTCAGAAAAGCAGGCATGAATGATGTTTGGATAGGAACCTCATGGAAACTAGGAAGGTTCCTGCAAAACGAAAATATTTATCCAATGATCCTGGTATATTTATACCAGGCAGTTACTATGGGACTAATGGAAAAATTATGCTAATGTCAGTTTAAACTAACTTTACACAAATCTGGGAAATTAAAACTCTTCTTATAATATAAAATACATAAGCCAAGCTATCCTCGGTTCCCATGTGAAAAAGATCAGTCATTTTAGAAGAGCAGGCAACTAACACTACAATATTTGCAGAAACTGTAAATGTTGAGCATGCCCCCATTCCTGAGCCTCCTTTTGTTTTGTCCAGGCCACGTGTTACATGGCATACCCAGTAAGAATGCAATAGGAGAGTGGGACCATCTTGATGTATGCAAGAAAAGACTGTTACACATTATGTCACTTGCCTATATCTGTGGATCTGATCCTTTTTGAATGCTGATTTCACTGAATAAGTTTAAATTGCCAGGTTTGTGACAAGTTTTTTTTTTTTAATGAGCTCTACAGCGTTCTGTGTGCATTCATTTGTCTTTGATCTCAACACAGGCCTTTAATGATCAGCATTGACAATGCCACCCCTCATTCTGGTAAAGTCACTGTAGTGGTTTCATCTTTGTTCTGTTACCTTGCAGTTATCTGCCTAGGAACATTTGTGATTGTCTTGTGTTTATGTTGTACTGAACATACCTCACAACCACTTACTTGTATATATTACTGGATTGCCAGTAATTTAAGCATTGTGGTGAAATATTACCTTATTGTATAGATTTTCAGTTCATTTTAAAAGGTTTGGCTTCTTCATCTAAGAAGACAGGCCATGTAGCCTTTTGGGTAATAAGACAAAGATTCGAGCAGCTGTTAAAATGTTTGTGTGTATGTGTAATGAATGATTCTGGTTACTAAAGGGCAAATATGGAATAAACTTATTTCTCTAATTATCTTACAAAGATAAGTCTTAACATAGAACCCTGGACCCTGTTGTAGGGGGAGAGTGGAGAGGTATTCCTTACCCCGCAGCTTTCCCCAGCTCTCTCTGGTACCTGCTTCCCTGTTATTAATTTGGCAGTTGGCAGAAGTCTTCATCTAGCATTACTAAGATGGAAGACATTTAATAGTCTTGTAATGTTCAGCATATCAAGGGTTTTGACCACCCAGGTCCTCCATTCCTCTAGGGCCTGATTGCCAGAGCTTTTACCTTTATGGAAAATGTATATCATATGGAACCTTGGTCCACCTAAAGGTTAGTCAGCTGAGTTGCTAACCCAATCCATGGTGGCATTTACCAACAGAAACCAGAGAAATCTGTTTTTATAGATCTACATATTGGAGGATAGGAGAACTGAAAGGTCAAACATTTTTACTGTTCCTGACTAATTGAGATTTGCATGGCTGAAGTTTACTATGTGCGGCTGAGATCATACAACAGGGTTCTGATAATTGTACAGTGTCTTTGTATGATTTATGATTGTAAGCACAAAGCTTGAATATGAAGTGGGAGTGTGACTTGCAGCTTTAGAAAATTGTTTTATGAAATGATCATTTGCCACAAGACTTGTATTTGTCATAATAAATCTCATTAAACAGTGGACACTGTGCCATCCGCTTGTAGTTTTGCATTATTCTGTTCAGTGAAAGTTTCACAGAAAAATGAATGAAAATTGAAAAATGAGTATCTTTTTATGTGGCTTGTAAATATAGATTTTACTTTTTAATGGACCTACCTTGATATAGACTTTTCACTGCTAAATTCATGGTAAGTATTCTGTGAGTGTAATATCTACACGTACTGTATATATTAGCTCTCGAGAGACCACAATACTCCCCTTGACAATGCCCTAATCTGCTTTTCTCAACAGAAGAACAGAGGCATCCCTTCCACAGGTCAACATTTTCTTCCTGAAAAGGGATCAGACAGTCATGTAACTCCTGATGTTTGTGCAGTTCTTTGTGTGTTCACAAATGTTTGACACAGAGCAACCTCAGCATAGGCAAAATCACATGCTTCGTTCTTAGCAGGGGCGGACTGACAACTCATGGGGCCCCTGGGCAATAGGGGATCATGGGGCCCGTGTCCTTGCCCAAACTCAAAAAAGCCTAAGAAAAAGCTGTACCAGGGGCATCTCATGCGGCCCCCTACTGACCCCGGGCCCTCGGGCAGTGCCCCGAGTTTCCAAATGGTCAGTCCGCCCCTGGTTCTTAGCAAATGTTAAGGATAAAAATGATGCAGCTTTTTAAAATTTTTATTGTAAGAAGATCACAATGCATTGTTACTCTTCAGTTGTAGGTATAAAAGCAGTACATGCATCATTCTCATTGAAAAAAATTACACATGTAAACAGAGTACTTGGTAGCAAAATATTCATAAGGTGTAAGTCCTGTTCAAGGTTATAATATGCAGTCTAGTCTGGATGCTGAAAATCTGGATTGCAGATCACATAATGACAGCAGCTATAATGGGCTCTGGAGATCCTAATTTTAAGGAAAACCAGGGTTAATTAATAGGAAGACAGTAATGGGGCAAGGAAATTTGCACAAGAGAAAGGAGAGGATTTGAAAATGGAAAAGTGGGGGGAGATAAATGAGACCATAGCCAGGGGAGGAAAATGGTGGGTAAATATAAAGCTGGCCATAGTTGGGTCAATTTGACTGATTCAGCAGGGACAGGCCGAATTTCGATCCATGTATGGCCACCTCCACTCAACAGAAGTCGACCAGGATTGCTGGAAAACTTTTGTTGATCAGTGTCTGAAGTTGCTGATCAGTATATTCTGACAGTAGTGTCCCACTGTCAGAATACAATGTCCCAGCTAGGTGGAATTCCTCCATCCACCTCGGTTGTGTGGATGGAAAAAGATCCATCTTTGGTTAGCTTAAGAAAGGAGACAAAAACTGGAGGGGGGGGGGGGGGTATTATTTCTCTTCCCCAGCAGACTCCAAGGGCATTTTGGGTTAACATAAGACATGTGGGGTCTACAGTAGAAGAGGGAGTAGAAAGGGAAAAAAACAACTAATTTTTGGTGTGAAAAGACATGTTGGACCAGGACAGAGAGCTTTGAGGGTACATCTTGTGTAATATTTCTAGGGTCTTGTACCATTATGTCAACAGCATCCGGATTCCTGGATTTTACTGGAAACCGAACATTTATATGCTAAAATTAGGATTCTGTCAAGTTGATTCACTGTATAGGAACAATTGAGATCTGTTTTTCCAAGCTCAAATATAGGGAGGTTGGGAATGAGTGAGTCCAATCAAGTTGAATGTGCAAGGGAGAGTGTAGAAAAGTTTCTCGGAATGGGTGGTAGCTCGGAACAGCCTTTCATTGTGCGATTTCAAGCAGAGAAAATGAGAACGTTGTAGTAGACACCAGTCATCCAACTGTGGACCAAACTGCATTTTAGAGTGAGAGAGGATAAGAGTAAAAACCTGTAGCTCTAGCAAAATGAGGGGTTCGGAGAGCCTCCTTTAACCAGATTTAGAAAGGGAGCATCAGAAGGTCAAAAGCAGGCTTGCCTAGGAAGGTGATGAAGAGATCCCAAGAGGATTGAAAAATGTAACGGGATACCCAACAAGTGGATCCCATTAGGGGATGGTGTCCGAGGGAGGTTTAGAACCTGAAGTTTTATTCTTGCCTTTTCCTGGGCCCATAAAAACATAGGAACATTGAACTTGAAGCCCTACGAAAGTGTTGGGGCAGGGAGATAGGCAGTGTTTGAAAAGATAAGTCTCAGGAGGATATTCACTTCAAAGATACTATTACAGCTAAACCAGGTGAATACACATTGATGCTATTTAGCAAGATCATATTTTACCATTGGTAGCAGGAGATTAAAATTAAGTTTGAAGAATTTGTGAAGATCTGCAGAGATATTGGTCTCCAGACATCATATGTGTGAGAAAACCATTTTAAAGGAAAGTTAGCCCCAAGACCTTTTAAGGTTAAATTGGGCAAGATAATCATCAGGGCTTCAGTAAGTAGTGGTAGTTAATTTTGTAATTAGCTGACTGAATATCTTAAGTTGGGTCATAACTGGAGGAAGGTTGGTTTTGAGGTTTGAAAGGAAGAAAACAAGATCATTTGCATAGACTACCACATTGTGGCCAAATGGGTGGAAAAGCTCAGATATTTGGTATAGGGGTCTAATCTCCTCTCCCTTTTTACTCTGTTAGTTCAATGGCTTCGACTCAACTGGCTTCCCAGAGTAAGTATTAATTATAGCAGTAACCTTACATTTCAGGTTCTGTCTGATCTCCAGGACATTCCTGATTTTGACTTTAGCTCAACCACTTCGATTTTCCATATCATCTACAAGTTGTTGATGCAAGGCAAACTTGTTCGAGAGAGGTCTGGGCTTCAGCAAGAGCCTCTAGAAATTGTTGCATTGCAGATTCTGCTCATTCCAAGTCCTCGTGCCAGGATGTAATGTCGTGTTGAAGCCCAAATCCTCTAACTCTGTGAAAAATAATATAGTATTTAGGGTACTTGGTATAGCTCTCAGCTTCCTT